TCTCAGAGCAGTGCGTTCCGGAACGGTCTGGACAGGATTTATCTTCGTCCTGGCCCTGTCCGAAAATTGACCCTGGGGGGTCCCCAAACCATGTGGTGACAGACCTAGCGGTGACCTCGAAATCCGTAATCCGCAAAGGCCTCACCGCAGGGTCCGTCACCACACGGTTTTTGTGACCTCGGAGGCCCCAATCGACCGAAACATCTTCGGAGAACGACCCGAGTCCCAAAACCGTGCAGTGACCCCGAATCCCCACCAACTCACCACTCGGGGTGGTCACCGCAAACTTTTGGGGGTCCTCGATTGACCTCGAAGTAGCTTGCCCGGGTAAGTAACCGAACACCCCTGATAACAACACCCGGGGGATGATCAAGTTCGGGGTCCAGGGGGGCTAATAGTCGATTTCCCCCGGCAAATCGATGACGACGACGAGGATGAGATCCTTGGCACGTTCTCCTAAAGGCTTGCCCGCACTCTTCGGATCCTTGCGCTCCTCGCCAGGAAGCCTGTCTTTCGTGACTTTCCCCCGCGATAATAAAAATTTGGCCTTGCCGCCCCTCTCCCGCGATTGGCTGGTGATAATGGACTCTCAGCTGGACAGGGAGGGGGATGATTTATTATCCGGGGCTTGCGGTTATCGCCAGGGAGAGATGCACCCGCGGAGTAGTGTGCGCCTGGGGAAAGTTTGCCCGGAGGAAGCTCGCCCGCGGGGGAGCTTCTGTCCGCGGGCGAAAGAGACGCCCTCCCTCAAGAGGCAGGCGCGCTCCTCAGAGGGAACATCGCACGTTTTTTTATGGTTACCATTGGCCATGAAAGCATGGAACATCACACGGTTTTCTATAGCCACCGGTAACCATAAGAAACGTGGGATGTTCCATCATGTTGATGTTGCATTGATGGCCACCGGTAACCGACCAAACACATGTGATGCTCCTTCCGGGCGGCCGGCCCAAAGGCCTCCCCCGCGCTGCTCTGAAGGCCGGAGGGCCCGTCAGACAGCAGGGGGGGATCTTGGTAAGGCTTCTCGAGAAGGCAGAAAAAGAGGTCTAAGAAGCTTCCCGCCTTTTCTGAAGGCCGCCGCCCTCGCCCGGCCCAGCATGCCGCCGATGGGAAGGGCGGGGGGCGGGGGGGGCGGGGAGGACTCATTCACTCGCACTGAAGCTATCTCATTACTCGCCAGACAAAGCCTCTGACCCACTCACACTCAGACTCACCCGTACTCAGACTGACTGATGCTCAGATCATCCATGCTCAGACCCTCTCCCAGACTCACTCACACTCAGATCACTGCCATTCAGTCTGAATCGACCTCTTCCCCCACGTGCTCAGACCAAGAAGCAAGCTTATCTAGACCACTTCCTTTCAGACCGACCCACACCCAGTCATGCTAACATAGGCTCACTCGCCCACAATTCATGTATACTCATACTCGTTGGCTTTGAAGACTCACTTTTGCTCAGATGCTCATACGCGGACGCACTCACCATCAGACCCACTCAGGATAGATCCATCACCGTCACAGAGTAGTGCTACTCTCAATCTACGCATAATCACACTCACTCATGATACTCAGTCTACTCAGAGCCAGGCTCGCGCAGGCTCAGACTCACCTCGCACTCGGATCCACCCGCTGTTATCGCCAATGTATCGAGGAAAGCGTCCGGCGGCGATTCCGAAACCATCTGCATGCAGCGGATTTCGTATCCCTCCCTTTCTCCGACCCGACTGGGGGGGCGGGGCGGTACAGCGTCGTGTTTCTGGCGATCGCCGCCGTTGCTGCATTCCCAACGGCCATGAGGCGTTTGCTCTCTATGTTCTTTGCTTTCTTACGGAGCCCTTGAACCGGGGAGACGTCAGACTTGAGTTCGGAGGACTCGAGTTGGCCTGACGGGGTCGTCAGAACAATGGCGAGACCCAACCTGCAACTTGACGCGAACTCCCGCTGCAGACATCCCACAAAGACTGGACCGTCGAACGCGTGACGGGCCCCTCAAACCGCGTCGGCGGACCCGAGCTCTGGCGAACCCGAGCCAGACGCTTCCCCGATGGAACTTCTCGACTCTCTGGCCCCAGGCATCCCCACGACTGGCACTGGAGCCGAAGAGGCCACACACCTCCCGCCATCCTGCACCGCGCTTGGTCGCTGGCCACGCTGCGCAGTCCCAGACAACAACTTGTCCCGGCGGCGCGCACGGGGGGGCAGGGGGGAGGGGGGGAAGGCTTCTTAGAAGCACCCCCCTGCTTCTTAGAAGGCCCTGGCCTTGCGTCTGCAGGCGGGGCCCGCGCCTTCTGAGAAGCGGGGGTGTGCTTTTGAGCAGCCTTCCCCCCCCCCCTAGCCCCCCTCTGCGCGTGGCCGATTGCCAGTATACGCTGTGCAAGGGTTCGCATCATCACCTGGCCGCTCGCGAGGTGCACGTGCCATCTCACAACTTGCGCATGCGGTGCGGCCACTGCATAGAAGCGTGTCCAGAATCACTGGCCGTGGGAGACTCCACAGTAGCCACTCGGGCTCTGTGGCGTGCGCTGGGACATGAAGGTTGTCAATGCAATCCAGGATGGTACTGTGACGTCCCACCTTCGACCCTCTACTTTCCCACTCGGGAGTACGCGAATCTCCAACCAGTCCTGACCAACGAGACTCGACGCTGAAGATGCTCGGTTGTCGTCGCCATGCTCTTTCTACTTCCTCCTGGTCTCACCTCTTTATGCCCCCCCCCCGTGGACACCGGACCCGATGGCATCAAAGGAAGCGTCATTCTCGTCCTGGCAGCCGGTGGAAGAGACAAACCCAGATGGCAAAGCGGCTCGACGGCGTTTCTGCTGTCCGTGCTGGGACTTGCACGCAGAGGCCTACACCACGCCCTTCTGGCACAAGGTGGGGCTCTGGCTAAGCACGCAGATGCTAAAACCATGTTCTCTTGCTGGGGCATGCCCGCGGCGGTACAGACAGACAGCCCTGGTGACTTAACCAAGAGCCCAGCCCTGGAGACTTCTGGCGGTCTCTGCCCCCATGGCGCCTGGCGAAACGTCCAACCTAAACGCTGGAATGCATCTTCGTAAACCTTCGACCGGCAGTGGGGACTTCTAAACTGCCTCCTGGCGGCCGTCTGAACCGAGCGTTTGACCTGGTGTCCTTGCGAAGGGCAGTCGACTGTGCCCACAACCCTCTGCCTTAGAATTTTTACCTTCTCCCCTTCTCCTCCTGCCACTGAATGAGCTCCGCCTCCTCCTCTTCCTCCTCTTCCTCCTTCGGGAGAGAAGAAAGACGAAGAACAACAAACATCGCGGTGACTACCAGCTGGAAGTCTCCCCAGAGATCCTGGCTGTTATCCTCCTCCTCCCTCCTTCCTACTCGCCCCTTCCCGCTCGCCCCTCCCCCTCCTCCTCCTCCTCCTCCTCCTCCTCCTCCTCCTCTTCGACCTTCCCCGCTCGCTCCTCGACGCTCCTCCCTCTCTCCTCGCCGCTCCCTCTTCTTTCCTCAGAGGGGAGCCGCCGACAAGGGGGGTGGGGGGTGGGGCTGGTATGGGGGGGGGGAGTCGTCAGCCTGGAATCGGCGTCACGTCGCTAAAGCCCCCGACATGTGTGCAGTCCACGCGCTCCCGAAGAAAGCCGTGGGGCTCCCCGCGCACCTGTCGGTCGGCGCTGATGGGGAGGTCGGGGGCGTCCAAGAGGGGGGCGTCGAAGAGGGGAGGTTCGCAGATCACGGCAGGAGGCCTGTGTGCGGACCAAGGGGGGGGACTGTGGAACGTGCTGGAGGCAGAAGAAGGGGCCACGAAGTCTGGGGAGATTCCATGGCCCTGGCCATGACATCCAACCCCTCCCAATCATCGCCCTCCTCTTGGCCGCAGGGCAGGCTTCTTGGGGGGGGGGGGGGGGCGCTGGCGTCGGGCCTCGGCTCCTGCAGAGGACGTCGACGAGGGGGCCGACCGAGAGCCTGCAGACTCGAGCGAGGTGGGGGCCGGGCGGGCGGACCCGAGCTCGCCGTCGCTCGGGCGTCCACTCCCCGTGCTCTTTGCGGTGTCGCGCGTCGAGGCCTCGCACGATGGTCCCAGATGCCCCTCGAGGGTCCTCGCCGAGAAGCCGCGCACACGTCCGAGCGATGCCAAGGGATTCCTTCGAGGTGGGCGCTGGCGCCAGGCCTCGGCTCCCTCGTAGACGGCGCCGACGAGGGGACCGGCCCGGAGCCGCGGCAGGTGCTCGAGCGGGGCGGCGGCTCTCCCTCGGAGGGCGTCGGCGCGGGGGGACTGGCCGAGCGCCTGCAAGTGCGAGCGCGGCGGGGGCCAGGCACAGGCCCAGGCGGATCGCGGACGAAAAATTGAGGAAAAGCATCAGAACAGATTCAAACATAGCTGAGGCATCGTCCACAGCCTGTTTTTTTCTTGACTATCTTGGGGAGTTCCTCCTGTCGAGGGGCATGCCCGACGTACGGCCAGGCGGGCGGACCCGAGAGGGACGGGCCCAGGAGGCCGCAGGGGCCACGAGGCCAGGCAGGGGCCGGGGCAGGGCAGGGCAGGAGTGGAGGAGGGGGGGGGGGAGGCGCCCGCGCGGCCGCCACCACCACGGTGGAAGGCTCCCTGGAGCCCTCGCTTCCTTCCTCCTCCGCCTCCTCCTCCTCCTCGTTCTCTTCATTCTCCTCCTCCTCCTCCTCCTCCTCCTCCTCTCCTCCTCCTCCTTATTCTCCTCCTCCTCCTCCTCCTCGTCTCCCCCAACCCCCGCCCCCCCCCACGGGGGGGGGGGAAGAGGGGAGGGGGAGGAGGGGAGGGGGCTGGAGCTCCCGGGGGCCGCTTTGTCTCGAGGGAAGGAAAGCGGACTTGTGCTGGCGCGGACCGCCCCCGGCCATCGAATCAAAACTCAATCGACAGCAGGGCATCGAATATCCAAGATCCAAGATCAGCCAAACCAAGTCAAATACCAAATATCAATCAACTATCGATTGAAAACAAAGCATTCTGCTGCCACTATGGCTCCCCTTGACTGGCGGCGCGCGATGGGGGGGAACTGAGAGGGAGAAGGCCTTCCAAGAAGGCGGCGGGACTTCTCCGAAACCCTCGCGCCTCCTGAGGTTTTTTTGTGCTTTCGGGGAGACTGAGAAAGCCTCTCAGAAGGCTTGGGGACTTCCGAGCCTTCTGACAAGGCCCGCCCCCTCTCATTTTCCCCTTCGCTCGCCGCCGACTCGAATCTAGAATGGCGGCCTCTCAAGATGAGAGACCTGCCGTCCTTGTTCCGTCTCGTGGCTCCCTTAGCCCCCTAAGCACCGGCGGCCACCTAGGGAGGCGTGGGGAAGGGCACCCGTACCTCGAACGCTTCTGGACAAGAAACAAGACATAAGAACTGTTCCGCGGTCTCCGGCGTCCAAGGAGCAATTTTCGGGCTCTGGTCCGTCAATCGAAAAACCCGCATGCGGGAGAGGCGCAGTCTTCACCCATGCCGTGCACAGGGCACCGGAACTGTGGCGAACTTGCGCGGCCACAGTGGCATCCTGGATCTTCGGATGCATCAGAGAGGACAACGAGGAAGGCAGAAGGCAGAAGGCGTGCGCACAGAGAAGGTGGGGACCTCCCGATGCACTGCGTCTGGAAAGTCGAACGGCTGTAATTGCACCTCCCGCCAACTCCTGTCAAAGTCTCTTCATTCCGTGCTCTCTCTCTCTCTCTCTCTCTCTCCCCCCCCCTCTCTGTAACCATGCATATGCATCAAGGCGTGTATAGGAGCGGCATGTGCGTCGTGCCCAAGATCGTAGGGCATGAGCTGGGGAATGTAAACAAGAACGTCGGGCACATGTGCGCACGGTGAAACACATGGCACGGGGCACACAACACCATACAACACCCTACGTGTTTGTTGTGCTCCCACCTTCGGCCGAACCTGTTTGTGAATACGGCCCCCTTTAAGCCTCGCTGCCATTCCTTCTCGGCAATCCGAGCTCGCATAACAGCAAGGCGCTCGAGAGGGGCCTTGCGCGCAGACAGTTGCTGCTGCCGCGCAGCGGTGGTCTGTGCACGGACTTCGGGCCCGAAACTGGCGCTTCTTGCGCCGCACAAGAAACATGCACAGCACGGCTGGGGTACAGGCCCCTCCTCAGATGCAAACGGGCATCAGCACCACCACTGTGCAACCCTGGTTCACTTGGTTGCCAGCTTCTGGATTCTCTCCTGGATTCAGCTGTCGCGCTTTGAAGCGCATTGACCATCACACTCAACACCATTGTACATTCGCTTGCCATTCTGAACGTGCGAAGTGCCGTGAAGATATGAACACAACAGCACTCACGTCTGAGCTCTCTTGGAGATGTGCGTATGATACTTTGCATGCCTGTAAAATGTAACCCACCCTACCTGCCACCCCCTCGTGATTACAAGTGCATGGGCCCTGCTTGAAGAACCACGCGCACCCGCGCATATTTAACGCAAGAGTATGACTGATTGTTCCGAAGCAACGCGTGACGCGAATATGGCGCTTACGCCAAGTCGCCGCATGCACCATTCTCCCGAAGGAAAGCTCAACGTATGATGTTTCGGGATTCATACTGGCCCTCCGAATCTCTTGAACTACAGAGAATTCGGTAATGTTTCCCAAGACTTTTGAGGGTTGGGGTTGTGACACCCCGACTTCCCCCCAGTGTGCGCATAAAACGCCTCTCTGATGACTACATACTCGGCAGGAAAGACCCACGAGCGATGGATGTGAAGGAGGTGTTTCCAGAGGCTTTTGGAGGCCTTGGACAGATATGTACAACATCCGATCTTCAGGATTTCGAAATACAAGGGGGGTGGTCTGATTTGGGGGGGTCTGCTTGGCGCTGTCTTGGATGGTTCCGAAGGTTCTGGGCAAAAGGCCGCCCTTTCATGGCTGGTCTGGGGGAGGTCTAAAACTGCTCGTCTGGAGGGTTGTGACCCGCTCCCTGTGATTACGGGATTTGGAATCGCCTGGATCCTGGATGCTGCGGGCAATGTGGCTCAGACCTGCTGACTTTGCGGTGGATTCGCGCAGCCCTGCGCACTTGCGCCATCCGCAGCTGCCGTTGTTGTCCAGGGGCTCGTAGGCCGAGCACCTGTGCGCCCGGGGTGACGCCGCGGAGTGAGGAGGGAGGGAGGGAGGACTCGAGGGAGGGAGGAAGGGAGGGAGGATGAGGAGGACGAGGATGAGGAGGAGGAGGAGTAGGAGGAGGGATTGGAAGCTTGGATATGGGCTCGTGAAAGTTGGGTCGTCAAACCTTCTCATCCCATAGCCTGTTCCAAGACCATTTGCAAACACCACACCTGGTATTCAGTGGATGGTTTGCGCAATACGCATCTCTGTCACAATCACCCCTATCTTACTCAAACAACTGTCGCAAGACCGCGGGTATTGCCGCTGGGCTGTGTCCCGGAGGTCGGTAACTCGGCGCATGCGCATGCAGGACCACTGGTTTTGCCGCAGGGCCGTGTCCTGGAGGTCAGTGCCTCGAGTGGGCGACACCCTAGGGGTGACGGGGGGGCGGGGAGAGCTCCACGGCAGTCCAGAACACCACCTGGGCGACGATCCAAAAGGGGTCTTGCGCGAGATGACATAGCGACCTTACGCCGCGGCTTACGCAGGCCGCCCGCGCGGCACGCCACATTTGAAGCGAGGGCGCTTTCGCGCGACCTTACGCGGGGAGCTTACGCGAAGATGTCGGCGCAGTTGGGCCCGCTGGCTTTCATCGCTCACCTGCCTTGCAGGTGACAAGGACAACCTGATCGTCAGCAGGACGGATCGCCACCTTGGGGGTGATAGTTAAGGGGGGACCCGCTCCACCGAGCAGGCCTCGCCGCCACCTCAGGAGTGCCAGGGAGGCGCGGTCAGCGGCCTGCTTCCCGGCCTGACAGATCAGACGCCCGTCGGCCACCGCACGGGAAGGCGCAGCTGGCGCCCGTCTCCACCGCAACTGGCACGCTGGGGGCATTGCCAAGGAACCTTTGGACAAGGAGCCGAGGGTCTGGAGGCCAGTGGCGCACTTCTCGTGGATTGGCCACGGATATCACCACCGCCCTCATTCAGACAAGCAGCCCTCCATAAAACGACGCGAAGATCGGGACAAAATCGGATCGGGATAACTCGAAATCTCTGAGAATCAGCGGGTTTGGAGGATGTATTGGGCGCCGCGGCCGCTCCAGAGCGTTCCAGAACGCTCTGAGAGCGCTCCGGAACGCTCTGGAGCGATTTATCCCGATCCTAGCCCTGTTTTACTCCAGGATTTGAAGCCTCCTGAGCACATTCCCTCACGAATGCCTCTGCTGTAGCTGCACCCCGGCACCGGCCATCCCCAGATGCCGGAGGTGAAACCCTCCCCGGCTCCCTCTCAGCAGGGCCGCCGCCTCGGGGGTGGCAGGGGGGGCGGGGTCTCCTCCTAGCAGTGCGGATCGCTTGCGCTGGGAAGACAGATGTGACCTGCTCGTCAGCTGCTTTTGCGTCCCTGCAAAGCTCACGGGTGCCACAGCAACACGACGAATCGAAAGGTCACTGGGCCAACCAGGAACACCGCACAAGCCGACTTGCAGTGGGCAAACTCATGCTATGAACCGTGACTCTTCGGCAATGCAGTAGCGACAGGAAGGGGAGGGGGAGTACAAGAGAGACAGGGAGTGACCTGCAAATCCTGCCCTAAGGGCGACAGGGGGACCCGTTCCACAGCAGGATCGCCACGCCAAAGGTGACACAGGGGACCTATTACACAGCAGGACGCATCGCCTCCCTGAAGATGACAAGTGCGCCATTCTCCACAGCAGGGCGGCTCGCCACCCTAGGGCGAAACGCCCTTCCCCCAACGCGAACAGCGGAGACCGCGACCGACGGCAGCATCTCTTAGCAGAGGGCTTGGCTCGACCGTGCTCGACTTCAGCGTCCCCCCCACCAAAGCCCACACTCGCTAAGCAAACCTGACCAAACAAGAACGGGAAGCGCCGCTGTTGTCCACTCGGCTCGTAACGCGAAGAAAAACAGAAAAGAGAAGAGGACGACACGTACGGAGGTGGGTGAGGAGGAGGGGGGCAGCGTGGAGGACGAAGAAACAAACGAGGAGGACCAGGACGACAACGAGGAGGAAAACAAGTGCAAGGACGAGGAAGACGAAGGCGAGGAGAACGAGCAGGAGAAGGAGGAAGACGAAACGATCGACGAGGAGGGGTGAAGGGAGGCGGCGCGGAAGACGAGGAGGACAGCGTGGCTGTGGATGGGGAGAGCGGGGAGGACAAGGAGGAGGACGAGGCTATCGAGAAGGAGGAAGACACCGAGGAGGACGAGCAATGCAAGGCGGGAGAGGACGAGGACGACGAGGTCCACCAGTGTGGAGGACAGTGTGGAGAACAGTAGGGATGACGAGAAGGAGAAGGACGAAAAGAAGAGAAGAGGGACGAGGAAAGCGGGACGAACGTGGAAGAAGTGAGGCCCCTCCTCCTCCTCCTCCTCCTCCTCCTCCTCCGACCTCCTCCCTCCCTCTCTCTCTCTCTCGCCCTCCCTCCCTCCTCCATCCTATGGGGACTGCCAGGAACGCCTGAGGCTGTCTGCGAGCCTTTGTAAAGCCTTCTGGGCGCTTCAGTCAGGGTTCTCTGGGATCGCCTGGGCCTGTCTGGCCGTGTCTGCTCTGGGGGCTCTCTTGGGCACCTCTTCGGTGTAGCCACTTCGAACATAGCCGGCGTGGCAGAGTGAGCTCGATGAACCATCTCTGCGTCGGATGCTGGTCCAAACTCTGAGCACTATTCACTCCAATACTATCATTCTGAACCTTGAGGGATATCTGCGTGAACAAAGGCTGCCAAGAGGTGGGCCAACAGGAATGATTGAGCGATCGCACGGTGACCCATTCACGCTTCTTCGTACGTTCTCAACTTCAATGTGACACCGGCCGCTGTTCGGAACCAGGTGGCAAACGCTGACGATATTACTCGCGCCAACATGAGCACTGCATGCCAAAGCAACCGAGAGGGCGGCGAGAGCAGATTTCAGAGTAGAGGCCAGGGCAGTGATCGCGGCGCGGCCCCGCCTCATCTTGGAGTCCTTGCCCTTGCCGAAGACGAAACACTTGAACCTGTCTCCACGTGGGTGGTTTCCGCAATTCTGGAAGCACTGGGGCGAGCAACTCTTGCAGACAATGGAAAACTGGACCGGGAGGAGGAGGGGGAGGAGGGGGAGGAGGGGGAGGAGGGGGAGGAGGGGAGGAGGGAGGAGGAGGAGGAGGAGGAGGAGGAGGAGGAGGGGAGGAGGGGAGGAGGAGGAGGAGGAGGAGGAGGAGGAGGAGGAGGAGGAGGAGGAGGAGGAGGAGGAGGAGGAGGGGGGGGAGGGGGAGGGAGGGAGGGAGGGAGGGAGGGAGGCGATGCGTCCGCGGCGTCGGCGATCCTTGCCCACTCGGTGTACAGACACCGGCCTCGGGCGCCCCCCCGGAGCTGGGCAGGCGGGGCGCCGGAGCAGTCGTGCGCCGCAGGGGAGCCGGGCGGGCCGCCGCAGAAGGCCTGAGCAGCAGCGAGCAGCCCTGCACGAGGTTCGCACGCGTCCGTCGGATCCTGGCGGCCTTCGCTGACATGTGCCCCTGCCAACCGTTGCCAACTCGACCAACGCCCTGGACGCGGATGCTCCGCCCCTCCCGCAGTTCGCCGACCCACGTACGCCACGCTCGCCGCCGCCCCGTGAGAGAACCACGGGCGCTGTGGGGCCACATGGGCTCAGCGTGCTGATCGTCAGACCATGCTGCGCCATCGAAGGTCCGCTCACAGATGGCCGTGCGAATTGTGTACCATCGCCAGCCAGCGCAGAGGGGGCCGGGCATGCCACCGACCACCATCAGGACCCACGCGCTCGCCTGCAGCAGCAGCTGACGTAACGACGGCGAGGGACACCATGTGCCACACACCAACTTGCACCACCCTGGACCTCCTTCAAAGCGCCCAGACCTGTCCACTCCTTCCTGGGGACCATGTTCTAACCCCGGCAATTCTCTTGCCATCGCTCGGACGTCCATTCCCGTGCCTGTGTCGGTTTCGTGCGCGTTTTTCCTCGTTGATCAAGGATGCTCCTCGACGGTGCTCGCCAGGAAAAAATGCACTCGCCCGAGCGATGCCAAGCTGTCGTTGCCAGACACGGGGCCCAGAAACGGGGCCGTCCAACAATCGATCCTGGACTGCTCGACCAAGCCGCGCGCTCGCCAGAACCGCGACAGCAACAGTGTCATCCCAGGCAGCTGGTGCTGCCAAGCACGGGGCTCAGAGACGGCCGCTGGAAGCCAGACATGGCTAAACCGTCCGTCCAGGTGCCTCAAGACGTTGGAGGTAGAGTCGGGCCGCTGGAAGAAGGAACGCCAAATAAGGAACGAAGCCCCTTCTTTGACCCCAAACCCGCCTGCGTGGACGAGGAACGCTGGAGAAATAGCCATGGACGGACCTACTAGATGTAAGGAACGTCGAGCCCCTTCCCAACCCGAACGGTTCCTTATTTCAGCGTCTTGGCTGCACGAATGCGCGCGAGACACCACCCGAGTTGGCGACCGGCGCAGACGTGCTTCTGGAGCTCCCCAGGTGCTGGAAACTGCTGTTGCATAAAGTAGGGGCCCGACCACAAGAAACCTTCCACAAGAAACCCAACCCTGAGACCCCAGGACGTCCATTGATTGTGGGTCTGGGAACGTCTCGCTTTCCACCGCAAGAAGAAAGAAGGCCGAAGAAACCCAGGGCACCCTGGAGGTAAGCAGGGTGTTTCTTGGCATGGGTCTCCACTGTACGGTGCAGCTGCCCGCCGCGAGCAGGCTGGCACGAGTGGGCGGCCTTCCCAGGAGGCGGGGGGGCTTCATGGAAGGGATCGGCCCCTCTGCAGACCCTTCCGAGGAGGCCCCTCGGGAGGCAGGGAGGCGGCTCTTGCGTGAGAGGCGGGGCGCCTTCTCATTAGAAGGCCCACCCCGACGCCCCGCCCCTAAACCACAGTCCACCCCACATGGCCCCCCCAGGCCCCTCCCCAGAGGTCCATGCCGGCCACGTTTCCGGGCCACCTCCAGCCGTGGCCGCGAGGGCGCCCCTGGAGGTGGGGATTTCCGTAGTCGGCGAGGGCGCCCCCTCCGCTCCAACGTGTGGTTACTCGGAGCAACCGAAAGGCTAATTGGCTGGCGTGCAAGGAGGGGGGGGGGGAGAAAGCAGAGGTTGGGGAAACAGACGGATACTAATACCGCTGCTCCCTGGACCTTACCCGGGGTGCGTTCTGACAAGAGAATTTCGAAACGACTCCAGCGGTGGCGACGAGTGCCTCCCAGGAGGCCCCAAAGAAGGGGAGAACGAGGCTAGGGTGGCGGTATGGGTACCTTTTCCTCTTTGGGGGAGGGCTCAAAAGCTTGGCGGTGCGCAGATGGGGGATAGGGGGAAGGGGGAAGGCCCCTTAGAAGGAGGCTGCTTCTAAGAAGCCTTTCCCCCTCCCTCCTCCTCCTCCTCATCATCATCCTCCTCCTCATCCTCCTCCTTCTCCTTCTCCTCCTTCTTCTCCCAAATCCCTGCGCCCCTCTTGCGCGTGGCCGAACAGCGGCCTCCGTGGCCGCCCCTGCTCATGGCTCTCTCTGCGCGCCGCCCGGGGGCGGCCCCGAAGAGCGCCCCGCCGCCCCGACGGGGAGCCACAGCTTGGTGGGCGTGTGGGCCACGTAGAACCCGTCCTCGGCCTGTCGCGGGGCAGCTCGGGCGCAACCGTCCTCGAAATCAGGCGCACGTCGTAGTGTTGGGCGACGCGCGCAGCGCGGCCTATAGAGTCAGATTCTTGTGCTTGCGGTCGCCGCTCTCGGCGCGAACGTTGAAATTTCGGGGTCCTGGGGCGCGGCCGCGCCGCGGGACAAACTTGTGTTTGATTTCGAGGGGTCATTCAAGAGACGAGCCGGGAAACTCGGAAACTCATCGAGGCGAAACCAGAGAAAACCTCCAGCGAAACCCGCAAGCCCAGAAAGGGCCGAAGCCCAGCCCCCCCCCACACCCGAAACCCGAAAGCCGGAGAGCAACCTGCCCGAAACTATAGGATATCAGAGCGTGAATTACTGTAGGATATATACCAGAGCGTGATATCAGAGCGTGATATCAGACCAACGCAGGCCGTAGTTTGGCGTCGCTTGGTATCTCTTGGAAGCGAGGGTGGTCAAAAGCGAGGTAGGTTTGTTTGCCCCCTGGGAGAGGCCAACTCCGCCGCGCCCAGCAGCCTCGACCTCGCCCGGTGGACGGCCACCAAGACCTCGACGCCATCAGCGCCGCCGTCGGCGCAGACGCCGTCCCGGTCCGACCCGCTCGTCTACGCATGCCCTCCCTGCCTCCGTCTGCCTTACACTGCCTCCGCCCACGTCAACTATAGTCTTATAGCCCTACCACGGAATGTTCTTAGAACCCCAACAAAACAGAACAACAGGCCGCAAGGTTCTAAGAACAAACAACCATGTTCTTAGAACATTAACACGATGTATTAAAACAAAGCGCTCCCAGCCAGAAACGTTCCAAGAACATATCGTGGAAACCACGAAAGGTTCTTAGAACATTGTTTGGTAGGGCTATAGGCGAGCCAGGACGCTTCGCCACTGCTTGAAACTAACCTCCTCCAGCTGCACCCTGGCTCGTCCTACCTCCTCGTCCGTGCTATCACCTCTTGCCCCCTCCCGCTCCTCCTACCTCCTCCTGCCGCCTGCTGCCTCGTCCTACCTCCTGCTTACGTCCACTGACCTCCTCCAGCTGCACCCTGCCTCCTCCTGCCTCCGAGGGAGCGCGCCACGAGAGACAGCGCCAGGAGGGAGGGCAGCTGCCCACCCACACCCCTGCCACCTCTGCCGGAAGCCCCCCCCTCCCCTTTCCCCCTTGCCCCAGCTCGACCCCGGCAAGCTACCCCCCCCTTGAACCTCCCCAGTTGGAAAGCCCCCTCCCCGCACCCAAACGACGACGACGACGCCGTGGCGACCGCCGGCGACAGCAGCAGCAGCAGCAGCAGCAGCAGCAGCAGCAGCAGCAGCAGCAGCAGCAGCAGCAGCAGCGGTGTGCGGACAGGGGGCTCGCAGCGCCAGCGGCAACATCAACAGTAGCATCAGCAGCACCAGCAGCACCACCACCAGCAGCACTGGCAGCACCAGCAGCACCGTCAGCAGCCCCAGCAGAAGCACAGGCAGCAGCGGCGGCACCAGCAGCAACACTGGCAGCAACACCCTGCCCAGTTTCGGGTCTCGGGACGTTTTTCGGGTTCAGCCTTCTTCCGCCGAGGAATCTCGGGCCCCTGTGGGCCCCTGGCGTTCTAGTTGTCACCCCCTGTGGGCCTCCTAAAAAGTTTCGGGTCGCCACGGCTGGATGCGCCACGAAAGACCGCGTCAGAAATTGGAAGAGCGAGGACTGTGCACATTGAATGGCCCGGGCCAGGGCCGCCCTGGGCTCAGGATCGGTGCCTATGCCTTCCTGGCTTGGCCACGGAGGCACATGCACCGATCCTGGGCTCAAGATTTAGGGAAACCAGAAAGCAACGATACCGCTGCTCCCCAGACCTCCGCGGGGCGCGCTCTGACCAGGATCTCGAGGCGAATCTAGCGGTGGCGACGAGGGCCCCCAGTAGGCCTAGACAGGGAATAACGAGGAAGTGTAGCTGTATGGGTGCCTTTCCCTCCTCCGAAGGATGGCCCCAAAGAGGCTTCAAGACGCAACGTACACCCGCGGCATGCCCTGGGGCAGCTGCTGCGTCTTGACGACCCGGAAGCGTGCCAGAACGCCATTTGGGACTTCAACACCGCGAATCCGCATTACTGTTGCGCCCGCATAATCCAGAATCCTTCCAAAACACTATTTCTGGTGCGCTGACCATGTGAATCCGTGAAACTCTAGCATTGTTTTAAAACGAGTGCGCGCGGCGTTAAGCTCATGGGTCCTGCGAACTGAGGCACCGCGGGGGCCTGAGCGAGAGAGACCTCGCCGTCCCTGGGAGGCTACGATCTGCGACACCCTGGGGGGCTGCGATCTGCGACACGGTCGCCACTTTCGAGGGCTGCTAGTGGGTCCTGCGGGCTGAGGCACCGCGGGGACCTGAGCGAGACCTCGCCGTCCCTGGGGGGCTGCGATCTGCGGCACAGTCGCCACTGCTGGTGGGTCCTGCGGACTGAGGCACCGCGGGGACCTGAGAGAGACCTCGCCGTCCCTGGGGGGGCTGCGATCTGCGACACTGTCGCCACTTTCGAGGGCTGCTGGTGGGTCCTGCGGACTGAAGCACCACAAAGACCTGAGCGAAATCTCGCCGTCCCTAGGGGGCTGCGATCTGCGACGCTGTCGCCACTTTCGAAGGTGCTGGTGGGTCCAGCGGAGTGGGGCACCGCGGGGACCTGAACGAGACCTCGCCGTCCCTGGAGGGCTGCGATTTGCGGCGCTGTCGACACTTTCGAGGACTGCTGGTGGGTCCTGCGGGCTGAGGCACCGCGGGGACCTGAGCGAGACCTCGCCGTCCCTGGGGGGCTGCGATCTGCGGCACTGTCGCCACTTTCGAGGGCTGCTGGTGGGTCCTGCAGACTGAGGCACCGCGGGGACCTGAGCGAGACCTCGCCGTCCCTGGGGGGCTACGATCTGCGACACCCTGGGGGGCTGCGATCTGCGACACGGTCGCCGCTTTCGAAGGCTGCTAGTGGGTCCTGCGGAGTGAAGCGCCGCGGGGACCTGAGCGAGACCTCGCCGTCCCTGGGGGGCTGCGATCTGCGACACGGTCGCCACTTTCGAAGGCTGCTGCCAGCGGGCTGAGGCACCGCGGGGACCTGAGCGAGACCTCGCCGTCCCGGGGGGGCTGCGATCTGCGACACTGTCACCACTTTCGAGGGTTGGTGTTGGGTCCAGCGGAGTGAAGCACCGCGGGGACCTGAGCGAGACCTCGCCGTCCCGGGGGGGCTGCGATCTGCGACACTGTCGCCACTTTCGAGGGCTGCGGAGTGAGGCACCGCGGGGACCTGAACGAGACCTCGCCGTCCCGGGGGGGGCTGCGATCTGCGACAATGTCGCCACTTTCAAGGGCTGCTGGTGGGTCCAGCGGACTGAGGACCTGAGCGATGCCTCGCCGTTCCTGGGGGGCTGCGATCTGCGACAATGTCGCCACTTCCGAGGGCTGCTGGTGGGTCCAGCGGAGTGAGGCACCGCGGGGACCTGAGCGAGACATCGCCGTTGTGTGGGGGGGGGTGCGTTAGTAACCACTACGACGCCCTCATAGCTTGATCTGGGGCTTGCGAGCCTTCCGATTGCAGCTCGCAAAACCACATGCGTCCATGTTACGTCATCGCCTCCGTTGTAGCTATCCTGGTGTACTTACGCCCCGCATTACGTCACCAGGGTAATTCAAAACGAGTGTGCGCGGCGTTAAGGCGAGAGCTACATTGTGAAAAGGTACCGCGCTCAATTCGTGAAACTCTGGCGAATTTTGAAGGCGAATGTGCGCGGCGCTCAAGCGAGCGCCACATTTGGAAAGCAACCCGCCCTCCATCTGTGAAACTGTTGCACATGTTTAAAACGAATGTGCGCGGCGCTAAAGCGAGAACCGCATTTTGAAAAGGTACCGCCCTCAATCCGTGAAGCTATTACAAGTTTTCAAAACGAATGTTCGCGGCGCTAAGGCGAGAGCCACATTTTGAAAACGACCCGCCCTCCATCTGCGAAGCTGCTGCGACTTTTTCGGTTTCAGAATCAAAGGTGGTGAGGAAGTCTCAGGCGAAACGCCCAGCCCGCCCTAAAAAAACTTGCCTCGGGGTGCGACAGGGAGAAGTTATCTATAAGGAGACGGAATGGAGGAGGGGGGGTGGGGGGGGGCGATCACTGGGGGGAGAGAAAAAAGGCGATCAATGGGAGGGCGATCCATGGACGGCGAATGGAGGGGGGGGGCGATCACTGGGGGGGGGAAGAACGGTGCCCATTTCGCGCCCTAGAATGCCCCTTCCTGGGCCGGGTCACTGACTGGAGGGGGAGAGAGGGGGCGACCAGTGGGGGGGGGCGATCAAGGGGGGGGCGAATGAAGGGGGGGCGATCACTTTGGGGGGGGCCAAGCACGGTGCCCCTCTCGTGCCCTGAAAGGCCCCCCTTTCTGGGCCCGAAAGGGCCCCGTTTGGGGCCCCCAAAGGCCTTTTTCTGCAGCCCTCGTTCCCCCTCCCATTCACCGCCCTGCCATTTCTCACCGCCCAAACCGTGCGGGAGGCAGCGCCTCCGGCTCGTTCCCAGACCCCTGGACGCCTTGGAACAGGTCGGGACCCGTGCTGCGCCCAGTCATCTCGCCACTGCTGAAAAGGGACCCAGACACACACAACACAACACAACACAACACAACACAACACAACACAACACAACACAACAGACCACAGACCACAGACCACAGACCACAGACCACAGACCACAGACCACAGACCACAGACCACACCCCACCCCACAACACACCACACCCCACCACACCAGAAAACAACACAGCACAACACAACACAACACAGCACAGCCCACCACACCACACCAGACCAGACCACACCACAACACAACAAACCACACCACAACACAACACACCATATCACAACACAACACAACACGGCATAACATACTACACCACACCACACCACCCCACAACACACAACAACACAACACAACACAACACACCACTCCACTCCACTCCACAACACACCACACCACACCACATCACAACACAACACAAAACAACACAACACAAAACGACACAGCACAACACAACGCAACACAACACAACACAACCGTACAGCACAACCCAACACAACACAACAGTACAGCACAACACAACACAACCCAGCATAGCACAGCACACCACAATCCTCAAACCGCAACATACAACACAACACAACACAATAAAACACAACACAGCACAACACAGCACAGCACAGCACAACACAAGACACCACAACACAACACAACGTATCACACACAACACGCACAACACACAACACACAACACACAACACATACAGCACACACAACACAACACAATACAACACAACACTACACAACACAACCAAACACACCACAACAAAACACAAGACAACGCAACGCAACGCAACACATAACACACAACACACAATTCATAACACACAACACACATAACGCAACACACGCACACACACACACACTGTCCAGGCGCCGCGGGGGGTCCTCAAGAGGTCGTCGTCCTTTTCCTCGGGGCCCGTAGTGCCTGACTGGAGTCGCTCTCGAGTCAATGGTGGCCGGTGCAGCAACACAGGGAATGCGGGACCACCAGGGGGTCAGCTCGTCTGCAGCGAGCGGCCCCGGCAACCCGCCAGGACCCATTAGCGTAATGGGATGCATAGCGAACTGCATCCGTCCAGAGAAATGGAAAGCGTCGCGTCCATTCTCGATACACTTTCTATCTCATTGGAGACCGGCCAAGGTTTCGGCCCAGTGAGCACCTTCTGCTCAACGTCCTTCTACTACTTCTTTATCCTACGCCGCTGGCGTGCGTAGCCGTGTGCCGCCGGGTGTCGGTGACGCTGTCGTCATGGTCTCAGGGGGGAGAGGGCCTTGCTCGGCTTGAGTGCTCCCTTCGCCGCTCACGCGTGGTGGTCTGCTTCTTCTACGTCCGCTCCTGCTCTGGACATCTGCGTTTCCAGTCTTGCTGCCGGCCGGCATCCCTCGGTCACTGGCAAGACTGTTCGAAGGGTGCGGTTCGGCGACTTGTGCGTCGAACGGCCCTGGCTGGGTGCACATCTGTCTGTTCAGCGTGCCCTTCAGGCCGGAGCGCGTGCAGACCGTCGTGGAGGTCGTCGGCTTCTGCGCGCGCGCGCGTGCGGAGTCGTCTTCCTTCGGGCGGTGCAGTGACAACGAGGGCGCGAGCACGGGGGCACAGAGCAGCGCAACGGACGAGTGGGGAGCCGACGTGCTCCCACAGGCATTCCTCGCGGTGGTCTTCGTCGGGGCTCTCTTCTCGCGGTGGGTCACGGAGGTCGTCTTTTTCGAGGGGCGATCGCGAAGGTCGTCGTCATGCGGGTGCTCATGGAGGCCAACTTCTTCGCGCAGGTGCCTGCGTGGTGTTCTACCTCGCGGGGATGCTCGAGAAGGTCTTCCTCGCGGGGGTGCTGGTCGAAGATTTCTTCGCGCAGGGGCCGGTGTGCCCATGGTCTTCTTCTTCGGATGGGGCGCTCGCGGGGGCCGTTTCGATGCTGGCGTTCGCGATGCCTTACTTTTTCGCGCAGGTGCCCGTGGAGGTGCTGGCGGAGGTCGTCTTCTCGGTGGGGTGCTCGCGGGGGTATCTTTCATGTGGTTGCTTGTGGGGCACTCTTTACGCACGTGCCCGATGAGGTCTTCTTAGCTGGCGTGCTGCTTGGGGTGCGACCACACAGTCGGCTGCGGCGCGACTGAGGTGCTTTCTATTCTCGTGGAGGCCGTCATCTTCATAATGCGTTCGCGGAGGTAGTCTTCATGCGGTTGTTCGTGTGGGTCTACTTCGTCGTGCAGGGTGCTCGTGGAGGTCCATTTCGCGGGAGTGCTTGTGGGGTACTCTACCTCGTGGAGGTGCTCGCGGGTCTCGTGCCCGCGGGTACTCATGGGGGCCTTGCCCGCGCCGCTGCTCGTGGAGGTCGCCGTCCTCTTCGGGGAGGCGCTCGTGGAGAGTGCTCCTCGCGAGGGTGCTCGTGTGGGCCTTCTTCGCGCAGGTGCTCGCGGGGGATCTTCCTCCTCGGCGGGGCGATCGCGGAGGTCGTCTTCATGCTGGTGCCTCGTCGTGGCACCCCTCACGGTGGCGCTCGTGAAGGACTTCTTCGCGCAGGTGTTCGAGGGAGTCTTCCTCGCGAGGGTGCTCGTGGGGGCCTTTTTCGCGCATGTGCTCGAAGGCGTCTTCTTCTCTGTCCTCGGCGGGGCGATCGCGGAGGTCGCCTTTGTGCTGATGTACGCAGGGGCCTACTTCTTCGTGCAGGTGCTCGGTGCGGCATTCGTCGGGGACGTCTTCCTCGGCGGCACCGTCTGCTCAACGTACCTCTACTCCTTCTTTATCCTACGCCGCTGGCGTGTGTAGCCGTGTGCCGCCGGGTGTTGGCGACGCTGTCGTCATGGTCTCAGGGGGGAGGGGCCTGCCCGTCTTGAGTACTCCCTTCGCCGCTCACATAGTGACCAGTTTCTTCTACATCTACTCTTACGTTGAGAATCTCCATATCTCCCTTCTGCGGGTGCTCAGGCCTTCTTCGCGCATGTGCTCGATGAGGTCTTCTTCCCCACGCAAGTGCACGCGGGGCCCGTCCTCTCCGTGCAAGCGCAGGTATTTGTGGAAGGGGGCGGAAGCTTTCTTGATGCAGGTGACCGTGGACATCGTGGGCGTGTGCAGTGCCTCCTTTGTGAGGGTGAGCATACACTATCCAGGCGCCGCGGGAGGGTCCGCAAGTAGTCGTCGTCCTTATCCTCAAGGCCCGTCGTGCCTGGCTGGAGTCGCTCTCCAGTCACTGGTGGCCCACATTCCTGCTCGGTGGGGTGCAGCAACACCCGGAAGTGTGGGACCACCAGGGGGTCAGCTCGTCTGCAGCGAGCTGCCTCGGCAACCCGCCAGAGCCCATCCATGTCTGTGCAGCAGCCTCGCGGAGAGGAAACACGCATCATGATAGCGTAATGGGATGCATTGCGAACTGCATCCGTCCAGAGTAATGGAAAGCATCGCATCCATTCTCGATACACATAGCACCCACGCGCACACCCACAAGCACGCCCGCCCGCCCGCCCGCGCATGCACGCAAGCACGCACGCACGCACACAAGCACGCACACAGACATCACGCACACAACACACACACAATACACACACCACACACAGGCACGTACACACACCACACACGCACACACACACACACACGCACACTCACACTCTCTCACACACACACGCACACACACACGCACACATACCCATGCACACATATCCACGCACGCACGCACGCACGCACACACGCACGCACGCACGCACACACACATACACACATACACACATACACACATACACACATACACACATACACACAAACACACATACACATACACGCACACACAAACATACAAGCACACACGCACACACATGAACACACACGCACACACACACACACACGCACACACACACACGCACATTCACACACGCGCACACACACACACAAACACACACGCACACACACACACACGCACACACACACACGCACACACACACACACGCACACACACACCATGGGGCTACCAAACGAAGAGCCAAAGGCGCAACGACAAGCGAACCGCTGAAGACATCCCCACGCTCTGGGCGCGAACGGGACTGTGCAACAATCCCTGGTCGGTGCCCCCTTTGGGTGGCCCGAACGCCCCGCTCGCTGCACCGCGGTGATCAGGCGGCTCGCAGACGAGAGGAGTCGGGGACGCAGGAAGCTGTTCGAAACACCCCGGGAATCTGGGCGCGCACGGGTCCGTGCAACACCCGTGGTCGGCTCTCCCTACTACCCTCGTCAACATTAACCTCAACAGTTGCTGGCACGTCATTTCGATTTCGGCGCGCCCCTCAATGTCGACACGCCGCCCCTTCAATGTCGGGGCGAGGGCAAAGATCGTCTGACCGAAGTTGACTCGAAAGTTTGACGTCGACCGACATTGGAGGGGCGGCGCATGCAAGTACCCCGCACTCATCGATACTCGGCACCAGATCTTCCGACAAGCAGTTCAACCACGTCAGACATTTTTGCGGTTAATTTTGACGAGGGTTGTGGTGTGGCCCCAGCGCGACGCCTGCTACATCGGGACATCGCGGTGAACAGACTTACGGCATACGGCTCTTCAGGGCAGAGGAGCCGAGGAGCCGGGGGCGTCAAACAACAGAGGCACCGCCGGTGAAAATCCGCACAGTCTGGATGCGAGTCGGGCCCGTGCAACATCCCTGGCGCCCTCTCCTTGGGGTGTCCAAAGGCCACGTCTGCTGCATCGCAGTAGCGATCGAATCGGAGCAGGAGTGCTCCGTTTGAGTGTGAGCGAGGCTGCTGCGCGTGGCCAGATCTGAGTATGACGCCTCTGAGTGTGAGGCGAGACGGAAGGTGGGCGAACCTGAATGTGCGGGTGCGTCTGGGAGTGGATGGTCCCGATGTGAATGGTCTGCACGTGTGGCTCTGAGCATTGACGCGTTAAGATGTGAGTGGTCTGGATACAGTATAGGGGCCCGACCGCAAGAGAAACCTTCCACGAGAAACCCGACCCTGAGACCCCCCAAGACGTCCATGGATGCTCGGTGTGGGAGCACCACGCCTTCCATAGCCACACCGGCGACCCCCCAAGACACCCGGGGCACCCCGGAGGGAAGCAGGGTGCTCCTGGGCATGGGCCCCCGCTGTATGTGAAGGGGAACTGGAACACACAAATAAATACACACAAATAAAAATATCCCCCATATTTTCTCATATTTTCTGGGGTTTTGTCTTCCCCACCACTTCCCATATTTTCCCATATTTTCTGGGAAATCGACGATTAATTGTGTCTGTGTGTTTTTTTCCCTCCTGAGGGAAGCAGGGTGCTCCTTGGCATGGGCCCCCGCTGTATGGGCGGCTCTGACCTCGAGCCAGTCGGTATCCGGGGCGATCCGCCGCGGGCGCGGCGCGCGGCCTCGACGCCGGGCAGGCCCGCGGGCACCTCGGGGCCCTCCTTGCCCATCAACAGCTCCGCCTTCTCCGTGAGGCTGCTCGTCGCCATCTGCAGGGGGGGCGGGGGCGAGGAGGCGGAGGTGAGGCAAGAGCGGGCGGGGGGGGGGGGGGGGAGCGGGAGGGAGGAGCCGGAGGAGGAAGAGGAGGGGGGGGGGGGGGGGGAAGGGTGTGGATGACTGAGGAGCGCCCCCCCTTGCCCGTGGCGCAGCATCCAGCCAGCGCGCCGAGCCACACCCACCTGGACCAGGCGGCCGCGGGGCGGGCTAGGCGGCGGCTCCTCACGGCCACCTGCGCCGACGAGACCACGGCATCGAACGGGACCACGTCGATGTCTGGGCTCTTCATCTTGTGGTAGGTCTGGTAAGCTACGGCCAAGGATTCGTAATGAACTTCAGGGTGATCAGGCACGAGACAGAGCCGAGCCAGCCGACGAACACTCCACAGGACACGGCACTCAACGTAGTGCTTCAATCTGTCCTTATCCTCAGCGCAATACATACAAGGTCTCCTGCCACGAATGCCCAGGACCCGCCACGAGGTCATCCAAGCATTTGACCACGACCGAAACATCGGCCAGGGCCAGGAGATCGGTAGCTTGAATCATGTAATTCTTTTGGCGTCCCAATTTGCTGCATCAGACATAGACTGAGATTGAGGCCATCACTCCAAAAGTTGCGTTTTCGTTCAATTCGGAAGCGTCGTGGTCATCGACATCCGCCGGAAACGAACCCGATGAATTTTGCGTTGCCAAGTTTGCCTTTCTCAACGGTAGCTATCCAGAGAAGACCGATGAGAAAGGACAGGATGTTGAGGAGGAATGGATGGAAAAAAAAGAGAAACAGACCTCCAAGCTTCGAGGATCAATGCGTCTTACCCAACATCCTAAGTGGGGTTCTTGTTTTCTCTGGGCACCCCGCGCAAGAACACCCACCCGTCACCATCATCATCACCGTCATCACCATCAGTATCGCGATCATCATCGCACAATCATCATACATCAACACGGCCATCATCCCATCATGACATCATGACCATCGGTCATCGCCATCCTCCTCCTCCTCCTCCTCCTCTTCCTCCTCCTCATCATCAACATCACCAAACCATATTTTCACGCTCACCCTTGCACATTGCACCATTGCACCACACCTGCACCACTGCACATACCATTCACCACCACACCAGCACCATTGCACATACTCAAGCACCCACTCACACACTCGCACACTCATCTTCAGGACTTCTCGAGCGGGAGCCTCGCCTGTACATAGCGAGGAAGTCTTGAACGAGCGGGGGCCCCGGTCCATCCAAACCCTGCAAAGCACTCGTCACTTGGGGGCTCCTCGGGCTGGAATCTGGAGGTCTCGAGCGGGAGCCCCCCTCCCCCCTCTCTTTTCAGGCCCCCACCTCCGTGGTGGAATCCGAGCGGGTCCATGCAAACCCTGTAGCGGTCGCCACTGTCGGGCTCCTCCAGCCGGAAGACGAAGGAAGTCTCCAGCGGGAGCCTCGTCACCGAGTGCATTGCGCGGAAGTCTCGAGCGGGAACACTCTGTGGGGTTGCCACCTCCATGTTGGAATCCGAGCGGGGCCATCCAACTCCGTGGAACTGTCGTTACTGTCAGTGAGTGGGTCGCGAGGAAGTCTCGAGCGGGAGCTCCCTCCATAGGGGGTCCCCGCCTCCATGTGGGAATCCGAGCGGGGCCATCCAAACCTTGTAGCTGTCGTCACTGTGGGGCTCCTCGGGGTTGGATATGTAGAAAGTCTCCAGCGGGAGTCTCGTCAGTGAATCGCGAGGGGATCTCGAGTGGGACCCCCCCGCCCCGCCTCCCTCGTTATGGAGTCCCCGTTTCCGTGTTGGAATCCTGGCGGGGCCATCCAGACCTTGTAACTGTCGTCATTGTTGGGCTGCTCAAGCCCGAATTTGGAGGAAGTCTTCGGCGGGAGCCTCGTCCGTGAGAGAACGGCAATGATCAGGAGGGGAAGAAACACACAGACACAATTAACCGTCAATCCCCAGGAAAATATGGGAAACTATGGGAAGTGGGGGGAAGACGAAAGTTCAGAAAACATGGGCAACTACGGGGAATCCTGGGATGTGTGTATTTATTTGCGTGTCCCTGGGCCCCTTCAAAGGAAGTCTCGAACGACAGCCCCTCTCTATGGATGGGGCCCCCGCTGCCATGTTGGAATCCGAGCGGGGTCATTCAACATCCTGTGACTGTCGTCACTGTTGGGCTCCCCAGCGCTGAATCATCAGGAACTCTCAAGTGGGAGCCCCGTGAGCGAGTGCATCGGGAGGAAGTCTCGCGCGGGAGCCCTTCCCGATGGAGTCCCCGCCTCCATGCTGGAAATCTGAAGTGGCCCTCCAAATTGTTTAAAGGTCGTTACTTGACCTATGGTGTCCCAACCTCCATGTTGGAATCCGAGCGGGGTCATCCAAATCCTGTCCCCGTTGTCATGCTTGAGCTCCTGGGGCTCGAATGTGGAGGAAGTCTCGAGTGAGAGCCTCGTCACTGAGTGATCGCGAGGACGTCTCGAGAGGGAACTCTTTCCTTGGGGGCTTCTCTTCCATGTTGGAATCCCAGCGGGGCAATCCCAATCCTGTAACCGTCATCATTTTTGAGCTCCCCGAGCTTGAGAAACAGTCTCGGTCGGGAGCCTCGCCTGTCACTGAATCGCGTGGAAGTCTCAAGCGAGAACCTTAGAACACACATCAAAAGTTTACAACAACAGCCAGGAAAGTTCAGGAAACCACATGAAGCTTCAGGAAACGCCTGGAAGCCCCAGGAGGCCCCAGAGGCCCCAGGAGGCCCCAGAGCCACCAGGGAACCTTAGGGAGCCCCACAAGTTCTCCAGGAGGTCACAGGGGGCGAAGGGAGGAATGGAGACGGGCAGGGAGATGGAGGCGAGGGCGGGATGGAAAGGATCGCTGGGGCCGCAGCCTCACGGAGGTTTTTGAGAGGCGAGGCGCAAGGATGAATAAATGGGGAGGGAGGGAGAGAGGGGGGGATGGGATAAGGGGAATGGAGGGAAGGAGGCCGGGGAGGCGAGAGGAGGGGGGGGGGATGGTGACGGAGGAGGCAGCAGGAGCGAGTCGAGGGGGCGATGTGCAGGCAACCGTCAGCAGGAGCGAGGTCGCCTTCATCCTCCGCGTCTGGAACAGGCCCTGCAGCTGCGCGCACATCTGCTGCGGCTCCTGCGCGCGAGGGGGGGGGGGGCCGGAGCTCGTGCTTCCACGCGCCTGTTCCCGCTCCAAGTGTCCCCCCCCCCCCCTCCTATACCCACGCCTCCTCCGCCGCCTCCGCCCCGCTGGCTCTCCCGCTTCTGCTCCTGCGTCCGGCCCCCGCTCGCGTCGTGCTCGCTGTTCTCCCCCCATCGCTTCGGCCCCCCCCCTCCTGCGCGGGCCCTTCCGCTCCTCCGTGGCTCCCCCGCCCACCCCGCTCCTCCGCAGCCTCCCCTCCTCCCGCGCACGCCCCTCCCTGTCGGTGCACGGCCACACAGCCTGAGTGGCATACATATATGTATGTATATATATATATATATGTATGTATGTATGCATGTAATGTAATGTAATGTAATGTAATGTAATGTAATGTAATGTAATGTAATGGAATGTAATGGAATGTAATGTAATGTAATGTAATGTAATGTAATGTAATGTAATGTATTGTAATGAAATGTAATGTAATGTAATGTAAGGTAAGGTAAGGTAAGGTGAGGTAAGGTAATGTAGTGTAGTGTAGTGTAATGTAATGTAATGTATGTATGTATGTATGCATGCATGCATATGTGTGTGTATGTATATATGTATGTGTGTATGTATGTATGTATGTATGTATGTATGTATGTATGTATGTATGTATGTATGTATGTATGTATGTATGTTTGTATATATGTCTATATACATATATACACACATATATATGGCTTTTGTCCGGCAGAGATCACCGAGAGCTGGCCGCGCGCGAAGCGCGCGGCCCACCTCCGACGAGGGTGCTCTCAGAGTGCCTGCGCGAATTCGCGTGTGGTCGGCTCACACGGCCTCAGACCGGAGCTCGAGAACAGCGGCGGCCCACGTGGCCTGGAGCCGCCACGGCTGCCTGGGGCGCTCTGGCGGCCAGCCAGGGAGCACGGGCGCCGGCGCCACACCCACCTGCCCGCCGGCTCGACGACGCGACGGATTACCCACAGCAGCGTCGGGACTTTAGCTCCCCCTCGCCTCCGAACGGTGTGCGTGCGCAGTGCTGCGGAGGGCGGCTGCTCCTCGGGCCCAGCTCGCGCCCGGGGGCCCCGTCGTCCTCGGAGTGCCCCGCTGCAGAGCTCCGAGACTGCATGGCAGTCGCGTGCTGGGCGGGGGCCTGCTCGCTCTCGAGGCCGAGCTCTTAGCGTCGGCGACGCGCACGCTCCTCTCTCTCTCTATTCCTCCTCCTCGTCCTCCTTTCCTCCTTTTCCTCCTTTTCCTTCTCCTCCTCCTCCTTCCTCCTCCTCCTCCCCCGTCTTGTTCCCATGCTCCTCGCTTCTGTACAATCGAGGCTGAATGGAGAAACTGGACGGCATGGGTCGCGAAACACAGGTCACGAGGGGCACCCTGGACTGGGAGGGGCCGACCTGCGACTCAGCCTCGACTGCAGGCCTCTCTCGCCTCTGCGGGCTGGCCCTGCACGGGCGCGAAGGGCGCTTCCGTCTCGGATCCACCGCGTGTGCTGTCAAACTTCGAAGGCATGACTTCGACCCTCGATCCTCGACGATCCACGGGGGGAAGGGGACTCGAAACCTGCCCCGCGGGCAAGCACGCGCCCTCGGTGGCGACACTTCTCCCCCTCCCGCCTCGGACAAACATTTGGTGGCGGCTGGTCCGTCGTTTCTTTCCGTCCCCGCAGTCCCGTCCGCCGCGGCCCGCGGACGCCCCGACGGCGCGAGACGACACGACACGAAGCGAGCACTCCCCGCCGCCAACATTGACACCAGAGAACCCCCCTCTCCAAGCAGACGCTCGGCAGCGGTGGGCGAGAGCAGAAGGGTGACGAATGAAACCCTGCTTGCCCTCTGCTTTTTGTACTCTCTGCGCTCTGCTTCCTGCCTTTTGCTATCGACTCTCCATTCTCGATTCTCTACCCTCTGCTCTCTGCTGTACTTCTTGGCCAAATCCGCACAGCACTGCCTAAATCCTGACAGCGCCCAAAACCCAAAACCCTCAAACCGAGAAACTTGAATGTACCCGCCCACCGGAATCGGCTGGGTTCTTTCGTGAAAACCCTGCAACCGCGGCAGCCCAGGAACGCATGAGCCAGGCCGCCCGCAGCTGGCGGCGAGCGAAGGGGGTAAGTGAGAAGGAAAGGCCTTCTCAGAAGGTTCGGAAGTCCCCTGGCTTTCTCGGAAGTTGTTTAAGCCTTCCCCGAAGACAGTTCAAAACTTCTCAGAAGGCGCGAGGGCTTCTGAGAAGCTCCGCCGCCTTCTGAGAAGGCCTTCTCGTTCTCACTTCCCCCTCTCGCTCGCCGCCGACACAGGATCAGCGCGAAAGAAAACTCCCAAATCCTCACGGCGTCTGCCAGGACCCCTTCCGCGCAAGCGCCGATGGGAGAAGGACCCGACCCCCTGCTCATGCATGTCCCCCTGCTCGTTTATACACCGGCACTGAGCCCAATAACGGCGCGGCCAAGACCCGTGAGGTGGACAGCTGACCTTCCCCCTCTCATCAAATCCGGCACGCTGCAACGAACTGTAACAACTCACCAAAAATGGTGATCGAAGCCCAATACGGCGCCGATCCGAAAGTTTCCCTAATTTCGCCACCGCGCTCGCCGCGGCCATCTGGGGTGGCGCGCGCAGGATAAGACCCGCGGGGCCAGAGGGCGGGCGGGGGCGATGTCGCGAAAGCAAAACCGGCGCGCCGATGGGCAGCCCAGCGCCCCGTTTGGCCGGAGGGGCCCACTACAAATCACAAACGGTGTACCGACCCGAAAATGAGCAAACGGCATAGGACCTCCTCGAAAAAAACTTCAGGGTTCGGTCATACGACGACCCGAAAAATTTAACGGCCGACCTGCAAGCGGCCAAATGCCATGGGACTTGCGCCGGGAAAAAATTCCGGGCCCGGTTCGAACCACCCGAAATGCGCAAACCGCCTGGGACCCCTTGCAAAAACATCATTCTCGAGGTCATCCGGCCCGCTCCGAAGAAACCGAGCATGGGCAAACCGCCTAGAACTTCCTACCAAAAAACGGTTTCTCGGTGGTTCCTGGCCTCGTCCGAAGGGGCCGCCGAAGGGCAAGCCGTTCAGGACTTCCTGCGCAAGAAACGGTTTCCCGGGTGAGCCATTGTCAACGGAACGCGCCACGCGCGGGATCGGGGTTCGCACGGGGGCGCGGCTGCTCTCGCCTGTCCAGGGGGCATGAATTGCCGCGCCCTTCCAGCATAGCGTTTGCGCTGTAATCGCGCGGCGCCGTGCTTCTCAAATCGGAATAAACTTTCGGAACGCCGATGTACGCCCCACACTTTTACTGCATGTCTCGAGCGGGATCGATCCGTGATGGTCTCGGGGCCCGACACTGGCAGCATTTGCCAACATTCAATCGGGAAACCAGATCTCATAGGAATGTAGGTCGGATCGGGTCGCATCGGCACGGCGTCCGACTCGAATCGGATCGGCCGCCCCAAGACGCACAGCAGCGCCGTGCCGCCGCCAGGCCGAATCGGACCGAAGGAAACATCGGAATCGAATCGGATCGGGCCCGCCATAGCCGATGTCGAACCGGATTGGTCGCAATGAAATGGACCCAACATCGGATTGAATAACAAATGCAGCGCCTGGATCTCATCGACTACACGCAAGATAGACCCTGGATGAAGAGTGACCTTTGGTGGGCGGCTTTTTGGAGGCTGCGGGGGGACCAACCACAAGCGCGCAAGACGCGACTATTCGGTGGCGACTCATCGGAGCCTCCCATACCATCTTGCCGGCTCTTGCGAATCGACGCTTGTCGAAGCTAAGTCGACGCTGATCGACGATGCATCGACGCTGACCGATGCTAAATTGGCGCTACCTCATCGACTGCCAGACGCTGATCGCTGCCAGGCGACGCTAAAGACTTAACTTACGAGGGCACACAAGGCTCCCATGATCTGCTACAGAACTACTGCCGCCTCGCGTGCGACGATCGGGAGAAACCCCGTTGGGCCCGCACCGGAAGGCCACTCCGGCGAAAAGCCACTCTCGCGCGCCGTGAGCGCCGCCGGCCGCGCAGCAGCGAGGCGCCGAAGGGGCGGGCGGGCACCGGCTCGTCGCCGCCGCCGCCCGAGCCAAGCAGGCTGCCCGTCACCGCCGCCAGCGGGTCGAACTTCGCGCCACCGCCGCCGGCGTCGCCGCCCGTACCTCGCGCGCAGGGCCGGCGAGTCACCCCTCAAAGATTTCACCGCCGAGCTCCCGCGATAGCCGCTCCCCCGTGGGGGGAAGGGAGGGGCGCTGCGCAAGGCTCCCCCATCGGAGCTCAGCACCGCAAACACGACGCGCGTCATTGTGAAGCAACTGTTCAGCGTGGGGGGTCACACACATATACATATACATATATATATATATATGTATACGCAGATACATACATACACGCAAACACATACATACATATATACATACATACATGCATACATACATACATACATACATATACACACATATATACATGTATGTATGTGCACTGCGTATGCATGTATGTATGCTTGTGCATAAAGATGTATCTATATGGTTTCGCCAGTGCGGGTCCAAAACATTGTTTCTCGCAAGACATATTGTGCAACGTATGTGAAGCAACCGTTGTGCGTGGTGCAATCCGTGATCAGCAGGAAAATTTGGGCAATCTATGTGGAACACTCGGTATGGCGCAATGAGGTGCTGTTCGCAATGAGTTGTCAGCTCCACCGTTCGCGCAATCATCCCACCTACCCACTTGCAACTTCGTTTCCAAATTCCATGCGGCGGCGATTGCGATGTCCGCTTGGCGCTGGCTGGCCCATCGCTGCGGCCGCGCTAGCGCGCGCAGGCTCGCGCGCAGAGCGGCCAACTAGTCCGCGGCCGCTGGGGACTTCCCAACGCGTCTCGAAGGCCGCTCTGACGCGCGTGCACTTCAATGTGGGTCGGTGGCGCGGTATCACGGCGACGTCGACAACGGCATACATGATGATGATAGTAGCGATGGTGGTGGTGATGATGATGGTGACGACGGCAATGCCCATGACAGCGCAGTTGATGATTGCGGCTATGACGATGATGATGTCCACGTGTCCGTGATGATTTTTTTGGAACAGCTTCGGCATGCTCGCGCGGCCGACGGGCGCGATTGGCCCGCATGAGAGTATTTGACAGGGGCCGCAACCCTCCAGCGCGCGCGCAAAGGGCGTTCGAATGATTCCGACATGCGCACGCGAGAGGCCAGGTTGGTCGCATGTGATGAGAATGTTGGAAAATAATCCAAATTGTTTCTTAAGGGTTCGGAAGAACGCGCGCGGATGTTCAGCAATCGTGTTGCGAACCATGCGTTTCTTGTTCTGACATGCTTCCGGGACACTCGATTTTGCCACCCCTTACAAGACCCAAAGTATTGAAAAGGCTGTCTGTATGCACGCGCGACGACCCGACTTTGCGCACTTCGTTTGATTTTATGCAACGGAACCTCGCAAACCTGTGGTGTATGATTACTGGGCGCGCGCATAATATCATTTGGCGAAGAAGGGGGGCGATAATGGTTTGGCTGGAGTGGTATAAATTCATAATTAACATGAACGAAGCGGCATGTTCAAATGTAAACTGCACATCCCCATAAAAGGTCGACAATCCCGGCCCCGGAGGGGTGGTAGATCCTTAATTCATTTACGCCAAGAGAACCTAGGTGGTGCAATCCATGTTGTGCAATATGTATCGTGCGATCTAAATGATAGCATATGTGCGCTGCAGTGTGTATATATATATATATACGAATGAGTTTTTGGCATTCAATGTGGTGCTATCGAGGTGGTGCAATCAGCTCATGTGGTGCACTTCGCGTGGTGCAAGCTACGTGGTTCAATATATGTGGTGCGACCCATAATATGCAATCGATTTGGTGCAATCTATGTGGTACGATCTGTGTTGTAGAATCAAGGTGGTGCAATCCACGTACTGCAACACGTAATGTGCAATCTATGTGGTGCACCCAATGTGTCGCAACTTGTTGGTGCAATCTATGCGGCGCAATTGATTTTTACAAATGAATTGACTCATTCCATGCTCTTGCAAAAATCCCACCCGCTCACCCCCAAACTGGTTTGCAAAGCCCATGCGGCGGCGATTGCGATGAGCGTTGGGCGTTGGCTGGTGCATCTCGGCGGCCGCGCTGACCCGCACCTGCTCGCGCGCACAACGGCCAGCTACTTTGGCGCGACCGACGCGGCCACAGTGGCTCTGACCGCTGGGCGCATCCCGGCACTTCTGTGCGAATCTGTGATTTGGGCGGGCGCGGTATCATGGCGACGTCGACATCGGTAGACACGATTATGTAATTAGTGATGATGGTGACGATGGTGGCGATGACAACGGCAAAGCCAATGACGGCGCCGATGTTGATCATGCCCGCCGATAGCGATGACGATGTTTCACGTCGGCGATGAAGGTTTTTGAAGGAGGTCGACATGCGCGCGCGGCCGACGAGCGCAAGTGCCCCGCGTGGTATTATTTGACACGGAGATTGCCCTCCCCAGCACGCGCACAAAAGGACGTTCGAATGGGTTCTACATGCGGCGCGACAGGCCCGTTTGGCAGAATTTGAGGACGACCGATGGTTTCCTTAACAACCCGCAAGACCACGAGCGCAGGATTTCTTGAAGCATGATGCTGCAAAACCTTGTGGTTTGATATGTTTTCGGGACTCGACGGGGCTTTTTTTGTAAAAAAAGATTGCGGCATGCGCGCGCGACGACGCGCGCGTGCGTGCACTTCGTCCACTTTGTCTGCAAGGGGTTATTGCAGCAGCACGCGCGCAAAGGCGTTATAACGATTCCGACGATCGAGAGGCCCGTTGGTTAGCATTGTATGAAAATCTTGAGAAACAACAGATGGCTTTCTTGAGAACTCGCAAGAGCGCTGTCGCAGGCTTTATTTGAAAACCCTCGTTGCGAAAACATATGTTTTATTGTTTGTTTTCGCGACAATCGGTTTTGAATTACCTACGGGATCAAAAAAGGCTTTTGAGAGATTTCGGCAAACGCGCGCGACGACGGTCGCGTGTGCACTTCGCCCCATCTGTTGCAAGGGATTATTGAAAACGGATGCCTTGGGATCGACGAGTGCGCGCATACTTTTTTGGCTGACAATGAGGGGGGGGCGATAAACGGCCTGCCTGGGATAGTATGAACTTGTATTTCGGATGGACGATAAAAGGCAAAATCGTGCAAATTTCAATGCGAAAAGGTGGGCCGTAAAGTCTGGGCGGGGGGGAGGTAGATCCTAATACTATCTTAGAAAAGGAGAATGTATGAGAGGCGGCGACGGGACGGCGACGGCGGCAACATGGCCGCCAGAGCGGCACACTGGCCAGGACGACGGGCGGCGACGAGGAGGCGACAGGGCGGTGACGGTGGCTTCACAGCCGCCAGAGCAACACACCGGCCCAGACGACGAGGCGGCGACGAGGCGGCGACGGGGCGGCGACGGCGGCTACATATCCACCAGAACGACACACCGGTCCAGAAGACGGACGGAGACGAGGCGGCAACGGGAGGGCGAATATATATATATATATATATATATATACATATAACGCCAGCGCGACAGACCGGCCTTCTTCTTTAGACCAGAAATGAACCCCCCTAAGTGCAAGCATTGTTCGGGGAATGAATTTACATACGTATGTCTGTATGTAAGTACGCATGTACGTCGTTTGTTTGTGTGTGTGAATGCTTGATATATTCGATTGTTTGTATGTATGTTTGTATGTATACATGAGTTTGTATGTGATTGTTTGTATGCTTGTATGTATGATTATATGTTAGTGATTGTTTGTACCTATGTATTTTTGGCATCGCAGACCCCCACCAGCGAGCTTTCTCGCAATAGTGATATGTTGTGCAACTCTTTTTGGTGCAATACATTTGGTGTGATCTATCCTGTACAAGGCAGATACTTGGCCCAAACTATGGGCGGCGACAGGGCGGCGACGAGGTGGCGACGGCGACCACGGAGCCGCCAGACCGCCAGCCAGGTTCAGACGACGGGCCGCGACGAGGCGGCGACGAGGCGGCGACGGGGCGGCGACGGCAACCACCACGGAGCCGCCAAACCGCCAGCAAGTGCCGGACGACGGGCGGGCGACGACGAGGCGACAACGGGGCGAGTGCGCCAGCCAGGCCCAGACGATGGGTTGCGACGAGGCGGCGTCGGGTCGGCGACGGCGACCCCGGAGCGCCAGGGGCGGCGACGAGGCGGCGACGAGGCGGTAACGGCGACCACGGAGCCGCGCCAGACCGCCAGCCATGACCATTTCCTCAAAAGAGAGGTATGACCTCCTAAATGCAAGCAGTGTCTCGGGAATCAGGCTATATATACATATATATACACACTTATTGGTGCGCCTCTTGTTACTGTCGCTTTCGTCTTTATGAGCGTGTCTAAATGCGAGCGAGCCTGTGTGAGAGTGGGGCATGAACAGCCGAGTGCGAATGAATCAGACTAAGTGCCGATCAGAAAAGAACGGCTTAGAGCGAGTAGGACTTGTTCTGATTCGGTCCAGGTCTGAGTGGAACTGAATGTGAATGCGTCTGGGTGTGAGTGGGCCTGGCTGAGATCGAGTCCGAGCATGAGTGACTCAACATGCATGGCCAACCACGGATCAATCCGGATAAGATTGGGCCCGAGCTTCAGAGTCGGATCATGCTTTTGAGTGCGGATTGCTGCGTAAGCGTCGGTTTGTGCATGGGCGGGTCTGAGCATGAGTGGGCTGAAAATAAATGAATATGAATTTGACAGTCTGAGTCTGTGCAACGACAGCAATTTTCTGATGGCAGACGGCCACTGAGTAACACAACTTGTCTACATCGACGGCGTTGGGCAGACGTCGAGCGGCTTGCACGAGCGGGCCGAGGGAACTTGTTGATCGTGTTCGGTCTCAACTGGATGCTCTCCAGTGCTGCGATGGCGCCCAGCCACGCATTCTTTGCACAACCCGCGCTGGGGGTATACGCATAGCTACCTGTCTTCTTGGAATGGCGCCTGAAACCGATCGCCCGAAGAGGCATATCACGCGGTCTATATGCCAAACGCCAGCGTAACCGCGGCTTCTGCGTTACATGTTACGGGTCGTGAAGCTCTCCTTTGCCCCGAAGCCAGAAGCACCTTGACATCGGCCGCGAGGATGAAACGCCGGCCCCGGGGAAAGGGGTCGGGACTTTTAGGGACCTCTACATGGGAGCCGCACACACAAACACATTCATATACACAGGCACACGCGCGCACACACACGACTCACACACACACACACACGCGCAAACACACGCACACACGCACACACACACGCACACACACACACACACGCACCACACATGCACACACACACACACGTGTTCGTTCGTCGCGGGTGGGCCACTCGCCAACGCACACACAAATACAGACACACGCACGCACGCACGCATGCACGCACGCACGCGCGCGCACCCACGCACGCACGCACGCACGCACGCACGCACGCACGCACACACACAGACACACACACACACACAGACACACACACACACACGCGCACACACACACGCTTACATATAGACTTACACACACGCACACTTACAGAGACACACACAAACACAGACACGCACACGCACGCACGCACGCACGCGCGCACGCGCGCACACACACACAAATCATGTGGGCCTCTGCTCGGGACATAGTGCGCACATGTTGTTGAGCGTCTAACGCTCGCGAGCCTATCCCGAGGAATGTCCACCACGCTGTGCGCGCGGGCGGCTGCAGACGTAGCCTCGTGGCCGTGGCGTCGGAACTCATGCCCCTCCCCGGGCCACGGGGCCTCCCGTAGAGGGACAGGCCCGACTTAAGGCCATCGGCTACGCGCAAGAGTCACCCTGGGAAAGAGCGGCCTTTGGTACGTGGCTTTTTGGGGGCCGCGGGGGGACCAAGCACAAGCGCGCAAGGCGCTGCCATCGCATCGCGTTCGGCGACTGGGGGGCCCCAATGGTCCCGCACCAACGGTCCTTCCGGCGAGGGGTCTCTCTTACGTGTAGCCCATGGTGCCCCCAACTTTTCGCTCAATTTTGGACCCCTCGGGGTCGTGTGGGCCACGTGAGGGGTGCTCTGGAGGCCGTGGGGGCCTCCCTGGGAATCCTGGGGGCACCTTGGGCCAAGGGCACTTCTAGCAACACCCGACAGTGGCCGGGCCCGGCCCCGACCCGCTGCGGTAGGTCGCCGCTCCGATCACGACCTTAGGACTCCTAGATGGGGTCGGAGTAGGTGGGGTCGGAGGAGCGCCGCCGATGCATCGGCGACGTCGACATGAAGCCAAACGGGCTCCACATCGAGCCGCATCGCCAATGCATCGGCGATGCGGCGCGATCCTCCGAGCCCGTCTAGTCCGACCCCATCTGAGAGGCCTAGGGTCGTGGGAGCCCCCCTGGGCCGTCGTGAGGCCCTCCGTCGGCGCTTCGGGGCCGTCTTGGAGGTCTGTAGGGTCGTCTTGGGGCCTTCTTCCCGGACATGCGGTTCTTGTTTGCTTAAAGGTTGGTGCCTCGGGGGGCTACTTTGCCCGTTGCCTGGCCAGAGGTTCCCCGGGTTCCCCGGGTGCCTCATGCCAAGCAATGCCAAGCAATGCCAGGCAATTCCAAGCACTGCGCCCATACGATAGGAAACTTCCCCTAATTGGGGTCGCGCCCGCTACATTTCGATGCGGGGTCCAAGAAGTCCCGACCCCTTCCCTAGGGTTTTTTCTTTTGTTTTACACATCGCGAGCATGTTCGGTGGCAACTCATGGGAGCCTCCCGTACCATCTTGTCGGCTCTTGCGAATGGACGCTAATCGTCGCTGAATCGACGCTAATCGACGCTATATCGACGCTAATCGACGCTAAATCGGCGCTATCTCATCGCCTCCAAGACGCCAATCGCCGCGAACCGGCGCTAAAGACGGAATTGCGAGGGTATACAAGGCTCCCATGCTTTGCTACCGTTTACCGTTGAGTCGGGCATGTCCTCCTACAAGCAGATGTTGGAAGAAACATCGAAAATTGGCCAAACATATCTTCAAATAGACAAACATAGTAAAACAATTCGGCCCCAGAGTATGTTTTTACTATTTTTGAACGATCCTCCTGTAGAGGGACGTGCCCGACTTACTGCTACCGAGAGCGTCTCTGGACTCGGCCAGTCTTGGGGGCCCATCTGCGGGGCCGTCTTGAGGGAGCATCCTGGGCCGCCACGCTGTGCTACCGAAAGCATGTCCGGACTCGGCTCGTCAGAGTAGGAGGAGGGGGGGGGAGGAGGCGGAGGAGGAGGAGGCGGAGGAGGAGGCGGCGGAGGAGGAGGACCCTGTGTGGGGCCGTCTTGGGGGCGTCTTGGGCCGCCTCCCTTGAGCAGGGACCGACCGTCCCGGCATTCCTAGAGTCCTACCACGAAATGTTCTTAGAACCCGTAAATGTTCCAAGAACAAAAACAATGTTCTTAGAGCATAAACACGATGCGATGAAACAAGACAGACTCTGCCAGACATGTTCTAAGAACATGTCGTGGAAACCACACCACAAAAGGTTCATGGAACATTGTTCGGTAGGGCTATAGGCGAGCCAGGACGCTTCGCCACTGCTTGACTCCCCCCGCTGCGGGCTCTCGCGGGCCCGACGCGCGGGGCGCGCTCGTGTCGTGGCCGACGCCGCTCGAGGCCTCGCCGCTCGAGGTGCGCGTGCGGAAAGCCGGCGGGTGGGGGCGGGCGGGCGGGCCCTCTCCTTCCTCCTCCCTCCTCCTCCTCCTCCTCCTCCTCCTCCTCCTCCTCCTCCTCCTCCTCTCCTCCCTCCTCCTCCTCCTCCTCCTCCTCCTCCTCCTCCTCGTCCTCCTCCCTCCTCCTCCCTCCTCCTCCCTCCTCCTCCTCCCTCCTCCTTGGCGAGGCGAGGCCTCTCCGAGGGCCTCTCCCCTCCGCCTCCTTCTCCTCCTCCTCCTCCTCCTCCTCCTCCTCCTCCTCCTCCTCCGCATCCTCCTCCTCCCTCCCTTCTCCTCCTCCTCCTCCCCCTCCCCCTCCGCCTCCGCCTCCGCCTCCTCCGCCTCCTCCTCCTCCTCCTCCTCCTCCTCTCCTCCTCCTCCTCCTCCTCCTCCTCCTCCCCTCTCCCCCTCCTCCTCCTCCTCCTCCTCCTCCTCCTCCTCCTCCTCCTCCTCGTCCCTCCCTCCTCCTCCCCCTCCTCCTCCTCCTCCTCCTCCTCCTCCTCCTCCTCCTCCTCCTCCTCCTCCGCGGAAGGCCGGCGGAGGCATAACGACAGGCCGCCTCCGCCCACAAACGGACGGCGAGGCCAGCGGACGCCGGCGGAAGCCAAAGATGTTTGGCGAGGCCTCCCAGACAGGCCGCGGAAAGAAATAGCGAACACGCATGCCACAGTCATCGGTCGACGCCCCCTCCTCCCCCCAATGTCCAAAGGTGGCGGTGGGTGTGGTGAGTTCCACTTCGACCGCAGTCTCCCCCGCGCATGCCGACTTCGAGTCTGGTTTGGGGGTGGGGCGGGCGGGCGGGCCCTGATTGGCCGGGCAAGTCCTCCTGCAGGCGGAACTCGGAGGAAGAATGAAGAAGTGTCAGAAACACATATTTTCGAAGAACATGAAAGCTCGTTCCAGGACTATCGTTTGACTATTCTTGGATATTCCTCTTGTAGAAGGGCATGCCCGACTTGAAACCAGCCTCGAACAGATCCCGCTGCCGAAGATCGCGAGCCACAATGCGATACCGAACTGGGGGACGTGCCTTCAGAAACTGCGAGGATCCTTGAGATCGGCACCGAGATAAGGTGATGCACAACGAAGGGGGTAAGAACATGTTCAAAGGTGGCAGCTGTAGCGGGCGGGTCGGGCGGGCAGAGCCTGACCCGGGTCGGACGGAAGGGACGACCGAGCGGGCCACCACTGCGGAGCATCCTCCGGGCCAGTGTAGTGCTAGGCAAGCGAGGCCGTTATGCTGCCGACCGTGGGAGCACATGCACGTGTGCTGTGAGACAACAGAGCACGCCTGAGATACACTAATACACTATAGGAGCTCGACCACAACAAACATGCCATAAGAAACCCGACCCTGAGACCCCAGGGCGCCCATTGATCATTGGCGTGGGAGCGTCACGCTTTCCATAGCAAAACCATCGACGCCCAAGAGACCCAGGGCACCCTGGAGGCAAGCAGGGTGTCTCTTGGGATGGGCTCCCACCGCGTGAACGGGGAAACAAGGGGCCAGCCACAGGAGGGGGGGGGTGGGGGCGAATTCGGGGATCTTCTGACCCGGGTCAATCCAGACCCGGGTCAGTCAGGCCTGCAAGACCCTGCAAGATCCTGCACCCAAACCTGGGTCAATGCGAAGGATCCTTCAAGATCCTGCACCCAAACCCGGGTCAGTGCACCCCTGGCTCTGCAGGATCCTGCAAGAGCTGGCGCCCTGGCTGACCCCCGTTTGCATGGACCCCCGTCTCAAGGCTCCCGACGAATCAGCTCAACTGGCCGGTTTTCCCGGCGCCTCCCGGCGCCTGAGGCGCTAGTATATCGAGGCATGCGCCCAGCGGCGGGGCCAGGACCGACCGCATGCAGCAGACGTCTTTCCAGCGGCCCCCCGCGTTTATGAAGGAGCCCAGGGGCACACGAATGGAGACACACGACTCCCAGGATTCCCCTATAGTTTCTGGCTTTTCGCCTTCGCCCCCACTTCCCACGTTTTCCCGTATTCCCCTGGGAGCCGAAGAGTAATCGTGTCAGCGTGTTGATTTCCCTTGTGACTGTAGTCCGACCCAGCTGACGGGCGGGTCGGGCGAGCGGGACACTCCAACGGGCGGGCTTACAACCAAGCGAGCGCGCGGACCCAGCTGGGCGGGCCGGGCGGACCCTGACGGAGAAAGCTGGTTCAGAAGGAGCGTTCTCGAGCCCGACGATCAAACTCCCCACTGGCGTGGCCCATGATCGACTTGCCTGGCTGGGTGTGGATGTGTGTCTGCTCTTTTTCGATTCGCGGGGCCTCTCCCCTCTGGGAGGGTGGGCTGGTGTGGCTGAGCTACCATGGCTCACTGGGGATGGGAATCGGTCAGACGATGCTGATGCGGGGCTCCTTTTCTCACCGCTCGCAATGCTTGGACCAGGTGGCCAGCCACGGCTCCAGGAAGTCGTTCTCCCCGGCGAACCTTGCGGCACCCTCTCGCGCTCCAAGAACTTGGGGCAGCAGCACGTCGAGTTGGGGGATTCTGACACTGCGTGCCTCGTTCAAGCCTTGAAGGATCGCGGCTTCCCGACTGCGCAGATTGCTCGAAATCGGCAGATACAGGGCAGCTCGCAGCGTCAAACCTAGACACCCCGCGCTGTGGCCGCACCGTCAACACGGCGAGAAAATGATGAATGAGTGGCGTGAGGGATATAAGAAGGAGGAGAAAAACTGAGGGCCGCCGAAACGCTTTGTTTGTGGGCGGTCTTCGAGGTGAAGAAGACCCTGCCGAGTAGTAAAGGCTAGAATGACGTTTGTGAGGAGCTGTGAACATGGCTCAGTAGACACACAAACACAATGCGGCGACGCCATGGCTTGACCAATGATAGTTCTGGTGTGTGCACCATGAAAGATGTTCGGGAACGCTACCCTTTCCGGTGAGGCAGTTGGGCTGCACGACCTACACACCTTATCCGCCACCGTGCCGATGGGCACGGAGTGGGCGTGTCTTTCTTTTTACCTAACAGCGAAGACTGATAGGTTTCTAATAGTCTTAAAAGAGAGCAGCAGATGACTCCACAGGGGGGTCTGGGCGGGTGCCGGACAGGGTGCCGCAGAAGTCGTTTTAAGCAAACAGTCACACACTTCGTGCTCTTCGACCTCCCAGAACTCCATTCCCGGGCCACATTCTGAATGCCCGGAGCCAACTGTAGGCCACTTCGTGCTCTTCGACTTCCCAGAACTCCATTCCCGGGCCACATTTTGAATGCCCGGAGCCAAGTAGGCCACTTCGTGGTCTTCGAGTCCCCAGAACTCCATTCCCGGGCCACATTTTGAATGCCCGGAGCCAACTGTAGGCCACTTCGTGCTCTTCGAGTTCCCAGAACTCCATTCCCGGGCCACATTTTGAATGCCCGGAGCCAACTGTAGGCCACTTCGTGCTCTTCGAGTTCCCAGAACTCCATTCCCGGGCCACATTTTGAATGCCCGTAGCCAACTGTAGGCAACTTCGTGCTCTTCGACTTCCCAGAACTCCCTTTCCTGGGCCACATTTTGAATGCTGAGGCAGGCTGATGCTGCGGTCGAGGCAGGCTGGGGCTGAGGCAGGCTGAGGCTGAGGCCTGAGGCTGAAGGCAGAGGCTGAGGCTGAGGCTGAGGCAGGCTGAGGCTGAGGCTGAGGCAGGCTGAGGCTGAGGAGGCTGAGGCTGAGGCTGAGGCTGAGGCTGAGGCTGAGGCTGAGGCTGAGGCTGAGGCTGGCTGAGGCAGGCTGAGGCTGAGGCTGAGGAGGCAGGCTGAGGCTGAGGCTGAGGCAGGCTGAGGTTGAGGCTGTGACTGCGACTGCCGTTGCCGCTGCGACTGTCATCGCGAATGCGACTACGACTGCGAGAACAGCAGAATTCTACAACTGGATTTTCATTACCTAACAGCTTGTTCTGATAGGTTTCTAGTGGGGTCAAAAGAGAGCAGCAGATGACTCCACAGGGGGGTCTGGGCGGGTGCCGGACAGGGTGCCGCAGAAGTCGTTTTAAGCCAACAGTCACACACTTCGTGCTCTTCGACCTCCCAGAACTCCATTCCCGGGCCACATTCTGAATGCCCGGAGCCAACTGTAGGCCACTTCGTGCTCTTCGAGTCCCAGAACTCCATTCCCGGGCCACATTTTGAATGCCCGGAGCCAACTGTAGGCCACTTCGTGGTCTTCGAGTTCCCAGAACTCCATTCCCGGGCCACATTTTGAATGCCCGGAGCCAACTGTAGGCCACTTCGTGCTCTTCGAGTTCCCAGAACTCCATTCCCGGGCCACATTTTGGATGCCCGGAGCCAACTGTAGGCCACTTCGTGCTCTTCGAGTTCCCAGAACTCCATTCCGGGCCACATTTTGAATGCCCGGAGCCAACTGTAGGCCACTTCGTGCTCTTCGAGTTCCCAGAACTCCATTCCTGGGCATGATTTTGAATGCCCGGAGCCAACTGTAGGCCACTTCGTGTTCTTCGAGTTCCCAGAACTCCATTCCCGGGCCACATTTTGAATGCTGAGGCAGGCTGATGCTGAGGCTGAGGCAGGCTGAGGCTGAGGCAGGCTGAGGCTGAGGCCGAGGCTGAAGGCAGACTGAGGCTGAGGCTGAAGCAGGCTGAGGCTGAGGCTGAGGCAGGCTGAGGCTGAGGCTGAGGCAGGCTGATGCTGAGGCAGGCTGAGGCTGAGGCTGAGGCTGATGCAGGCTGAGGCTGAGGCAGCCTGAGGCTGACGCCGAGGCTGAAGGCAGACTGAGCTGAGGCTGAAGCAGGCTGAGGCTGAGGCTGAGGCTGAGGCTGAGGCTGCAGGCTGAGGCTGAGGCTGTGACTGTGACTGCCGTTGCCACTGCGACTGTCATCGCGAATGCGACTACGACTGCGAGAACAGCAGAATTCTACAACTGGATTCTCATCTGAATCTTAAGGGGAATGCTTCCAGATATGCTCCTACACATCGCTGTTAGGTTGCTTTGCCGGGATAATCTGAATCTTAAGGGGAATGCTTTCAGATATGCTTCTACACATCGCTGTTAGGTTGCTTTGCCGGGATAATTTACCTAACAGCTTGTTCTGATAGGTTTCTAGTGGTGTCAAAAAAGAGCAGCAGATGACTCCACAGGGGGGTCTGGGCGGGTGCCGGACAGGGTGCCGCAGAAGTAGTTTTAAGCCAACAGTCACACACTTCGTGCTCTTCGACCTCCCAGAACTCCATTCCCGGGCCACATTCTGAATGCCCGGAGCCAACTGTAGGCCACTTCGTGCTCTTCGACTTCCCAGAACTCCATTCCCGGGCCACATTTTGGATGCCCGGAGCCAACTGTAGGCCACTTCGTGCTCTTCGATTTCCCAGAACTCCATTCCTTCGGGCCACATGATTTTGAATGCCCGGAGCCAACTGTAGGCCACTTCGTGTTCTTCTAGTTCCCAGAACTCCATTCCTGGGCCACATTTTGAATGCTGAGGCAGGCTGATGCTGCGGCCGAGGCAGGCTGAGGCTGAGGCAGGCTGAGGCTGAGGCCGAGGCTGAAGGCAGACTGAGGCTGAGGCTGAAGCAGACTGAGGCTGAGGCTGAGGCAGGCTGAGGCTGAGGCTGAAGCAGGCTGATGCTGAGGCAGGCTGAGGCTGAGGCTGAGGCTGATGCAGGCTGAGGCTGAGGCAGGCTGAGGCTGAGGCCGAGGCTGAAGGCAGACTGAGGCTGAGGCTGAAGCAGGCTGAGGCTGAGGCTGAGGCAGGCTGAGGCTGAGGCAGGCTGAGGCTGAGGCTGAGGCAGGCTGAGGCTGAGGCTGTGACTGCGACTGCCGTTGCCGCTGCGACTGTCATCGCGAATGCGACTACGATTGCGAGAACAGCAGAATTCTACAACTGGATTTTCATCTGAATCTTAAGGGAAATGCTTTCAGATATGCTTCTACACATCGCTGTTAGGTTGCTTTGCCGGGATAATTAGACAGCCCAAGTGATGGCTGACGGCAGCAGGGGAGCTCCGCATGTCCGAGCGCATGCGCGTGGCGGGCTCAGCGCGCGCTCGGCCGGCGCCTCGCTGGGTCACGATTCTGCGGCAGCAGTGCAAGCGTCCTCCTCCTCCTCCCCCCTCCCCCTCCCCCCGTGCACGGAGTGGGCGTGTCCTGGGTCCTCTGCCTAGTTCTCTGAGGGGGAGGGGGAAGAGGAGGAGGAGGAGGAGGAGGAGGAGGAGAGGAGGAGGAGGAGGAGGAGGAGGAGGAGGAGGAGGAGGGGAGGAGGAGGAAAAAGAGAAAGAGGAGGAGAGAGAAAGAGGAGGAGGAGGAGGAGGAGGAGGAGGAGGAGGAGGAGGAGGAGGAGGAGGAGGAGGAGGAGCAGGAGCAGGAGCAGGAGGAGGAGCAGGAGGATGAGCAGGAGCAGGAGCAGGAGGAGGCCTCTGCGCCTCGCCCCACCACTCCTGCGGAGTCTCCCAGGAGCCCGGGCCCCAGCGGGGGGCTCGGCGCGTGTAACCCCTGGGGCTTGGTGCGTGCCTCCTAAGGGCGGCCCCAAGAGGCCCCCGGGAGGGCCCCCCCAAAAGGGCCCAAGGAGGGCCCCCAAACGGCCCCGGCGGTGCCCACGACGGCCCCAGAGGGGGCCCAGGACGGCCCCAGGAGGGGCCCAAGAGAGGGAGCACGAACTGAAAATGCGAGCCTCCCCCCCAAGAAGCCCCCAGGAGGCCCCAAGAAGCGCCCAGGAGTCCCCAAGAGGCCCCCAAGAGGCCCCCCAAAGGAGCAAAAGAAGCCCCGACACGGCCCACAAGAAGCCTCCAATCTGCCTCCTAGAGGCCACCAAGAGGCCTCCTACGAGATCTCAGCGAACATCCTATAAGCTTCAGGTACCCACAACCCAAGCACGGTGGCGGGATGGGCTGAAGGCCATTAGATTGCCCCAAGATGCCTCCAACACGGCCCAAGATGCACCCACGACGGCCTAAGATGGCCTCAAGATGGCCCAAGACGGCCCAAGAGGCCCCCACGAGGCCTCCAAGACGGCCCAAGAGGCCTCCAAGAGTTCCTCCAGGAGGGCGCGAAGAGACCCACATCACCACTGTTTCCTCAGGTTTTTGACGGATTTGGGCGGTAGCTTCTTCTCGGCGTTCTGACGGCTCCAGACGGCCCGAGAGTCCCCCAAGATCGATCCAAGGTCGCCCACGAGGCCTCCAAGATGGCCTCATGACGGCCCGAAAGGCCTCCAAGACGGCCCCCAGAGGGCCCCAAGACGGCCCAGGAGGCTTCCAAGACGTCCAAGATGGCCGCGAATCCCTGAAATGCCCCAAGAGGGCCCCAAGACGACCCAGACAGGCCCCCTATCACGGCTTCCGACGGCGCCAGGCAAGGCAGGAACGCTCTAAGACGGCCAAAGAGGCCGCCCACCCCCAGAGGCCCCCAGCAGGCCCAAGGAGGCCCCAAAGAGCCTCCAAGAGGCCCCAGGACGCTCTCAGCAGGCCCCGAGTGCCCCCAGAGGCTCCCGAGAA